TGCAGGTCTTGCTTGTGTTTGGACTGCTTTGGGGCACCCCCAGGCACTGCTGATGGTCCCCCAAGGGGAACAGGCTCTCTGGCTGCAGCTGACCAGTTTCTAGTGCTGCTAGCCCAAAATGTGGTTGGAGGGACTGATCCCACTGCCCCCCTCCAGCCCAGGGATGAGCCCCCTTGTGCCCTGAGTGCCTGTGATGTAGTTGTGGCTCTCACCCTGCTGGTCCATGAAGATGGGAGCTCCCCCAAGCGATGCCACTGCATCCACGAGCAGCAGACAGCCATGCCTGTGGGAGGACAGAGCTCAGCCTGGTGGCTTTCCCAGCTCCTCTTGCCACCCTCTGCCTGCAGCCCCGTCATCCTGGACACTCAGGGCCACGTGTCTCACTGATACCGACCACTTCTAGCACAACAGACCCAGAGAAGAGCCCAGGGTGTGTAAATCCCTAGGTCCCAAGCCCCAATCTTGGGGTGTTGCCAGCCCTTGTGGGTGCCCACCGTGCACTGACCGGTGGCACAGCTCGCCCAGCCCCTCCAGTGGCTGCAGCACTCCAGTGGAGGACTCGCCGTGGGTGATGAAGAGCACCAAGGGGTTGTGCTGCACCAGGCCCTGCATGAAATAGAGGGAAGGTGACCGCTCTGGAGGTCAACTTGTGCCCGCTGTCTTGCACAGTGGCCAGCACTCACCTCTTCAATGTCCTGTGGAGTGAAGTACTCGCCTGGGGGCTTCAGCAGCTCTTGGACATCAGCTCCTGGCAGAAATTTAGGCAGAGGAGAGTAAGGTTTGGGCATACCTCTCACTGGGCAGTCACTTGCTCTGCGGGGGAGTTGATCATGTGTGGAGCACAGACACCTGCCAGGGTCTGGCCTACCATGGATTTGCCCAGTGGATAAGCCACAAACCACTGTAAATGGAGAGACATCACCCTGGAAAAAAACTGGAGCGCTCTCTGGCTGTGGAAGCTGTGTCACTGGTCACTGCCACGAGGATTGAGACAGCAAGCCAGGGCTCACATTCTGGCATCCTGCCTGGATCCCGGTCCCCTCAGCCCTGCTGTGCCATCCTGCTGTCCCTGGCATACCCAGCCTCCTGCCAATG